CCTTAGAGGTTTTTAAGGCCCGGCTTGACAAAGCCCTGGCTGGGATGATTTAGTTGGGGTTGGTCCTGCTTTGAGCAAGGGGATGACCTCCTGAGGTCTCTTCCAACCCTAATCTTCTATGATTCTATGAGTGTCTGAACTGTCTATACGAGGGTCAGTCAGTGCTCTGCGTTGAAAGGAACTGTGTAAACCCAAGATCATTACATAGTAGAGGGCAGTCGAAGCCCTGTCCTGTGTAGAGGCATAGATCCTGAGACAAGTGCAAATAAGAACACATCTAATTGAAATGGATAGAGAGAGAGCTTGGAGCCAAAGACTTCTGACTTGTATCCCTAGCTCTCCCTCTGTGAGCCTGGACAAGTTGCTTCCTGTGCCTCAGTTTCTCCATGGAGTTTCATCAGAAGGGCTCATGTATAGGGTGTTCAGAGTCCCACTCGGTGCCCGATCCACATTCGCTGCGGCTGTTACGGCCCCGCGATGGAGCCTGGCTCTTTGCTCAGGAGGTAGAGGGCCACTAGTGCTTTTAGCTCTGGAGGTCCCAGGTTCAGTTCCTGGTGTGTCACGCCCACGTCCTGCTCCCAGCCTCACCTCTGCCCCTCCTCTCTGTCCCCCGCAGTGATGGTAGCGACGCAGCAGCAGATGAATGACGCTCAGCTGCCCCTGGAGCAGCGCGACTACTGCGCCCACCACCTCATCAAGCTGATGAAGTGCAGGCGCGACTGCTTCCCCAACTTCCTGGCCTGCCAGGATGAACTCCACGACTGGGAATACTGCGAGCATCTTGAGTACGAGGCTGCCTGTGCTGGGAGGCTCCTGGCACCATCCACAGGCTACTCCGCTCCCAGGGCCACAGAGCTGGGGGTGGCAGCCCTAGGGGTAGAGAGGGGCAGCATGGCCTAGAGGAGAGAGCACAAAGGAGACCAGGGTTCTATTCCCAGCTCTGCCACTGGTGTGCTGGGTGACCTGGGGCAACTGGCCTCCTTTGCACGGTGCTTTGAGGTCTACTGATGAAAGGTGCTGCCGGAGCTCGGTGTGATTGGCACCTGCCCTTCCCACATAGGGTATTTAAGCCTAAGAATGTGCTGATGGTCCCCAGTAACCAGCTACGGTGGGCGCTTAGCACAGAAATAAACGTCCCCTCCCCCTTACTTTGTGGAAGGCATCTCAGAAAGCAGCGTTCTGGGCCATTGGCTGATCCCCGGGCCCCACTGGTGCGGCTAACCCTGCAGGATGGTGATGAAACACGTGTAGGGCCCTTCCCACAGAGGGTCAAGCCCTGGGCCAAGCAGACCCCAGAGTGAAGGGAGGGGTACTAGGCGGAACGTGGTTATGGGGCTGGCCCGGCTGTGTCACCGTGGGGATTGTGGGGTGGAGGGGGAAGCTGTGGGGCAGGGGGGAGGGGCCAGAGAGCCGAAGGATTGGTTCAAAGCAGTGAATCTAATTTCAGTGAGCCCCCCCTCCAGGAAAGTGGGACAGTCCAACAGCTCTGAGATCGGCCTGTACCTAATACAGAGTGTGGGGGGCGGGGTTGCTCCTGCTGGAGATGCAGGTAGACCCCCGTGACTGATGTCTCCTCTCGCCCCAGCTACGTGAGGCGTATGAAGGAGTTTGAGCGGGAGCGGCGCTTGCTGGTGAGGAAGAAGAGGCTGGAGCAGAAGGCGGCGGCTTGAGCAAAGCAAAGCCCTGCATCCCCATCCGCGTGAGGGGCTGGAGGAGTCCTGTCCTTGTGTTATACGTAAGGGAATAAATAATGGCTCGTCTGCGTCTGGATCTCGCTTGGTGACTGGAGTGGGGTGGGCAGGGCATGAGCGTGTACTGCACTGAGGCTGTAATGCCCCATCACTGCAGGTGCTGGGCATGATGGGGAGCCAGGGTGAGTGAGGTAATTGCTCTTACTGGACCGACTTTGGAGCTTCTTCAGACTTGGACCTGAAGTTATGGGGAGCAGTGAGCGGTGGCATTTCCTAGTGGTTAGAGCAGGAGTCAGGACTCCTGGGCTAAGTTCCCATTAAGCTGCGTGGCCGCGCAGCTCCCTATTAAGCCCCGCGCAGGGCTGTAGTGGGAAAAGGAGCCCCTCCCCACCGGCCCCAGCGCAGACCTGCGCTGGACTTGCCGCGGCCAGGGGAGGTGCCCCTCCCTCGGCCCTGCCCAACCCAGCCCTGCCGGAGCTACTGCAGCTGGGGAGAGGCGCCTCACCCTGGGCTGCTGCGGCAAGAAAGAGCTAGGTGGAGTCCTCTCTGCCCACCACATCCTGGGGTCAGCCTGCACCCCAAACCCCTCATCCCCGGCTCTATCCCACAGCCCTCACCCCCTGTACCCCAACCCTCTGCCCCAGCCCTGAGCCCACTCCCCCACTCCAAACCTCTCATTCCTGGCTCCACCCCAGCCCTAAGCCCACCCCAAACCCCTCATCCCTGGCCCCACCCCAGAGCCCTCACCCCCCTGTACCCCAACCCTCTGCCCCAGCCCTGAGCCCACTCCAAGCCTTTCATCCCCGGCTCTATCCCAGAACCCACACCCCCCC